AGGAGACACTGACATATTTTTAGGTATCTTCAAGGTTCAAAAGATCTTGGTTTACTTTATAAAAATAACCAAGATATGACATTGGTGGGATATTCAGATGCTGGCTATATGTCTGATCCCCATAATGCCAGATCTCAGACTGGTTATGTTTTTCTCTGTGGTGGTACTGCAATATCTTGGAAGTCAGTCAAACAGTCCATGGTTACTACATCTTCAACCCACTCAAAGATAATTGCTTTATATTTGACTTCACGAGAATGTGTATGGTTAAGATCTTTAATCCAACATATTAGTGGGTCATGTGGAATTACAAAGGATATAACTCCCATTGTCCTTTACGAGGATAATGCAGCTTGTGTTTTACAAATGAGTAGTGAATATGTCAAAGGAAACATGACAAAACACATTGCTCCAAAAATCTTTTATCCACACGAGCTCCAGAAGGGCAATGAGATTATTGTACAAAAAGTTCAATCTAGCGAGAATTTTGCACATCTATTCACCAAATCTCTTCCTACATCTACTTTTGAAAAATACATTTATGGTATTAGTATGCGTAAACTAGGAAGATTATTGTCTTCAAAGGGAGAGACAAACTCATAATAATCCAGAAGATTAGGTCCTGAAAACTAAATGTTGTACTCTTTTTCCCTTAGCTGAGGTTTTGTCCCATTGGGTTTTCCTAGCAAGGTTTTTAATGAGGCAACAGAAATGGAATATTCACATGAATAGTGTAGTCTTTTTTCTTCATTAGGATTTTTGTCCCACTGGGTTTTTCCTAATAAAGTTTTAACGAGACATATTCATGGTATAATGAGAATTACTGGATCAATTGATATGATTCCTCATGATAATAAGAAGATATTGGATTAGTTGTACTCTTTTTCCTTCGATCAAGTTTTTCCCACTGGGTTTTCTTGACAAGGTTTTAAAGAGACAACACGCGAATACTCCAATAAAGATAATCTATTTGAGGGGGAGCAATGTTGTGCTTCCACAATGATCAGGTTTTGTCCCAACGGGTTTTACTGAGGAAGCAATGGATTGATTCTAAAATGATCAGGTTTTGTCCCAGCTGGTTTTACTGACATGTTGAAGCAGCGATACTTGATGGCCACAAGATACACTTCAAGATGTTTAGATTATGTTTTATTCGAATAATGATATTTAGAAAATAGTCATTCAAGGGAGATTGTTATAATATTATGCATGCACCTCACGAGGTGATAAAATATATATATATATATATGAATGACTATTTAGCCCTTGATGTAATTATACTATTACGATTGTACCATCAAAAGTTTTCATGTAAATAGAGGCTTCAATTATAATGAAAAATATATCAAAATAATACAGTTTCTCTATTCTAAATCTTCTCTAGTTTTAACATACATAAGTATTTTCTCAAACAAAATGGAGTGAGCAGTTAACCATCATCACATATTCATTCATTATTCATTATTCACATACCATATATCTGAAAAGGGAAAACCGGAAAAATAAAATAAAAGAAATTGAGAATGGAAGTGACATCCTATTCTGTTTCATACTTCAGGTCTACCTCATTATCTCCACTGCCTTTTCCGGTAAAATCAACCCTTTTTCCCCGTGGCTCAGTCAATTTTTCCGGCTATAATTGCCTGGCCAGCAAGCTAAATTACAGTGCAATTAATGGGCTGAGGAAATTTGGTGCCATTACAGCTGCTTCTGGTTCTGAAAATCGTACAGCAATTAATGGTTCCATAAGATGGCTTCTTGAACCCATAGGTCTATGTGCGCGTGTCCTGAAACTTATTGTCTTGAAGTTTAATGTTGGGTCTGATCATGACTTGATAATTATAGACTGTGGAGTGTGTGTGTTGATATTGAGGCACAGTGTGAAAACTCTTTAGCAGATTTCAAATTAAGTGGGGGTAATAATTTGTTTTCTTTCACCCCTTATATTTTGGGGGTCTTTTACTGGGAGTTTAGTGTTAAGCCTTGATGGGTACTGATATGCTGCATACTTTATTTTTATTTACTTTGCTCTTGAAATTCTTTTGAATTTAACTTAGTGTTGAAGCTTGATAGGATTTGATGTGCCATAGTTGAGGTCCCCTTTAAGTTGCATTTTGATTGGAAGACATGAATTGAGAAGAATATTAAAACAAATTGAATGGATTTGGTTTATATGTTCGAATTCTCAATCCAAGTGGAGGCTTAAGGGGGAGAAATTGAGTTGGCTTGATGCTTACTCTGCATTTTGCGTGTCTTACAAGCGGATTGTACACTCGAGAACTCAATGATAGTTTGATTAGATTTTCTTGGTTTTTGAAAATACGAGCTTTAGTATTCCTATTATTAACCGGTCTATGGCCTTGCTGCTATTCTTCAGTACTCAAATATTTGTGTTTTTGTTTTACAGGTAATGGCGATACAAGGCACATAGGTTACAAAATTCCCATGCCTGGTACATTTGAGATAGATTCTGTAAGTATGTGAACAACGTTGAGAATCCCGTGCTTGATTTCAATATTTTCTAAGTGAACCCTTTTTTTCTTTGGACATGATTTAGAATGTAGTCACAGTTGGACGTGTGGGTGATAAGGCAGATATTGTGATTTCTGTGCCGACAGGTAGTCAATATATATTTATGATTCGAGTCATTCTTCATATTTTTCTTGAGCCCAAATGGCATATCATATTTCTGGTTTTGAGAAAAATATCAACAAAAGTCAAAAATACTTTTACCACATATTCTCATAAGACACCCTCCTTTTACTCCATTTCAACTTTTAGCTTCTTATACTGAAGCTTTTAACCACTCCTTTTTTCGCCTTAATTTGTTCCTCTGCACGCAATATAGTTTCTGCTGTGCATGCCCGGATTCAAAAGACAGAAGAAAATCTGTTGATTACGGATTTAGACAGCACAAATGGTACATTCATAGGCGAAAAAAGGCTCCAACCTGGAGTGGTCTACCCTGCATCACCAGGAAATCTTGTCACATTTGGTATGATCACTCTTTTACTATGATTTTTAACTACCAAAACACCTATTTAGGCTGAGGCTCGTCTAATTACTAAAAAAGTAACTATTATCTTTATTTACTTAACAGATAATCGTCACGCATTAATTGTGGCATTCTTTCTTAAATTCAATAATGTTACTACTAATGTTGTTCTCTGACTGCATATTTCTACTATTTTGGTAGTGAGCCCTCATGATTTTATGCCTAACAAGTCTGACTGGAAAAAAGCGATCCATTGTTCCTGAATAATAAATATTTCTCGGTTTCTGTGTATACATTTATTCGCCAGGCGACACAAATTTAGCAATATTCCGAGTCTATAAGCTTCGGGAAGAGGAGCTTAGTACTGAGCCGGAGGAATCTGGAGCTGGTTCAGAGAATGAGTCAGCAAGCTAATTAGAGACTGCAAGCTGATTTTGTGTATCATTTTTTTTTCACAGAACATAAATGTTTATTCAAACATTTGTGATGGATTTTACTGAACAAACTCACGTCATAGCTTTCTGCAGTTTTGGGGACCAGGAGAGTTTTCACATATTCGATCTTTTACTCTTTATTCTCCATCGATATTTGGGTGAAATATTATGTGCATCAATAGACTCTGCATAAATTCATTGTTGGAAATAGTTATCATACGAGATGCATTTTCTTTTTAACCGCAAAAAAGTGATGTCATTGAGATTTTTTACACTATGCACCAAATATCCTTTAACCGTTTTGTTCCCTTTTGAACATTTCATAAGTNCTCAAGAGCCGTTACAAAAAATAAACAAAAAAGCTGGAAAAAAAATAAATAAAGAAAGCTCAAAAAGAGCTGTTGACAAAACAACAAAAAAGGCAGCTAAAAAAGAAAAAAAAATTAAATAAGGCTCAAAAGAGGCGTTAAGGGCATTGAACGGTAATATGGGGCCCACAAATGAATGAATTGCTGTATTGGTTGGATGGGGCCAAATCCATTTAAATGATCCAAATGACTGCATTGATGCATGTGCCCTAATGGTATACCTTCTGTTTCATTTTAAAATACAACTAGTATTCAACACTGTGCATTTGCACAGATATAAATAAAATTAAAAATTATATGTTACATTTATGTATATAATATTAGAATTATAAATTATATAATAGTATTATATGTTAAAATTTGGTCATTGGTTAAAATAAATAGTACACACGATTTGATTGTATACGAATCACTATATTGATTGCATAAATGTAATAAATATATACTTTTTATAATTTTGAGTGATCATGACCAATTAATTAGTTGAAAAATATTACATTTATTATAACAATTGCTTATGTGATTTTAAGAAATTTTACTATGACATAAAAAAAAATTAATTTATCAATAAACAACATCTTCATCATATAAAAAAATATTGATTTTAGTGTAAAATATAATTTTATGTAACTTTCATATATTATTTAGTATAAAATATAATTACTAATTTTAATATTAAATATTATATTATTCAATAAAAAATATAATTATTAATCAATTAACATAAAATATAATGGTTTTGTCTTAATTAACCCAAAAAAATGTAATGAAATATTTTCTTATTAATGAGATTGGGTGTAGTAATGCCACATAAATAAAATTTATTAGGTTCTATTTATTAGGTTTTATTAATGATTTGTCACACAGGTAAAATTTATTAGGTAAAATTTATTGCTTAGCTAGCAATTATATATATATAGATATTTTAAAAATAAAAAAGAAAAAAGAAGTATAATATTTATCATAAAACTATAATGGACGACCAACACTATTGGACTTACTACTAGCAAAAACAATCTTGTCTCCAACGAGCTGATTGCTAAATCAATTTTTAAAAGATAAAATTGTCGCAACTAAAAAGCTGATTCATACCAGTGGTCAATGTTGGCCAATACGCAAGGGCTCCTATCTTCATATGTCATTATTCTTTAGATTAGTTGAAATCACTCTGTCAAAGAGGCAGGAATATAACAATTGGTCTGCTAATTATTGATGCCTATCTAATTCGTTAGATTCAGATGCAATAAAATAATCACAAAGGCCTAAACCAAGAAAATCAAACATGGCAAGCACGCTTTCACAAAGCTTTCTGATCCAAACACATCCACAGTAGGATGAAAACAATTTCCGAACAGTAAGGTCCACCAAAATCAACGACCTTTCCTTTTGTATTGAATTCAGTAATAACAAGATAAAATGGATACAAGATCTAAAAATCTAAGCCAAAATCCAAATTAACCTGAAACTACACTACTCAAGCAGCTGTTTCTTTCTTTAGCTTGGCGAGCTCTTGGTTAACAACACCAGCCCTCTGCAAATGTCAAGCACGATAATTTATATTCCTTATAGGAACATCAGGCAATAAACAATAAACAATCGTGATCTACAGAAAAATTTAGCCATACTCAATTTTAAAAGATTTTTCACAAGAGAATTCCTTGATTGCAAGTGAAGTTTTTCAGTAGAGATACAACTCAGCTACTACAACTCAGCTACCTATAAGCACTGATGTAATCGAACCGAACGAGCTAAGCTTAGGCGTTTCGAGCTCGTGTTCGGTTATATTTGAACAGTGTACGTGTTCGTTCGTTTATTTCTCGAAGAAAAAATTATGTTCGAGCTCGTTCGTTAATTGTTCGTCGAAGTTCGAATAATTTAGGACATAAACTTTTTAAATATATTTGATTAACTCGAAATTTGTTCGGTCGAAATCAAAAATAAAAAAAAAAAAAAATTAGATTATTGATTTTTATTAAAAATAATTTGTAAATATAAAAAATAAAATAAAATTATATTAAATTAATATTCGCGAACATTATCGAACATTCGCGAACGAGATCGGGTTCGTTCGATTATTAAAGCCTGATTTTATGTTCAAACTCTGCTCGATTAACAAACGAACGAGCTTTTGTCGAACACAAACTCGAACGAACTTTTGTTCGCGAACGTTCGGTCCGTTAACAACCCTACCTACCTTACCAGTAAGTTTTAAAATCTGTCACTTTGATAGGTATACAATTTCAATAGAAGAATATCACATCAACTATGTCTGTCTCGTTACCACTACAAAATAAAAGCTATCTGAACCATAGTTGTAAAAATTGGACAAGACTTGGCAAATTCAAATTCAATCCAACAATTGGGTCACTGACTAGTAAAATTGGTGAAAGCTGGTTAAAACCGGTCGAAACTGGCAGGTCAGACCTTTTGTTATAAAAATATTTTCCATAACTTTTTAACATAAATAAAATACATATTAAAATATATTGGGCATGCAACATTTAGTATAGGCATTTGAATATTCTCTAAATATTTAGTTAATGAAGTTTTCATATATAAAATTTATTACTTCAGCATTATGACTTTGAAAATTAATAATAATTTAAACACCAGCCCAACCAATTCTACCACTGATCTGATCACATCACCATTGAACTTGTAGTTTGAGAACCATGCTGGTTCTCAAAACATATCTGATTATCTATGGTTAAGTTGGTCTATGTTATTTTAAGCTTGCCGTTCCTACTTTCATTATCTTCTTCACCCGTAATATCTTCTTATTATCTTTACTCAATACTAGTAGTCTAGTACTCCAAAAAAAAATGCAGAACATAAGCCAAAATGTTAGATCACGTTTCACATACCTTGATCTTAGCTAGCATCAGTTTGAACCGATCAAAATCATTAAGTGCAGCCCTTCTCTTCTGAACAATAAGTTTCCTCCCCCATGAACTCTTTTCCCATCTTCCTTTCACATCTGCCATAAGAATCACAATATTTTCGTATAATTATCAAATACAATAATCACAAAAGTAAACACTTTAAACATATTAAAAACACCAACCAGCAGCCTCCATAGCAGCTATAAGAGTCTTCTTCTTGGGAACCCTCTTTACATCAATCTTGATGTCTGTCAGCGAAAGCCTCTTGAAATTCATCTGGCTCCTTACCATATCAGGGGCATCAACAAGAGCCTGCAGAACGGATTGTATCATCATATATTAATTGTATGGCACGCACACAAAAATAAAAATAAAATGAACAAACAAAATAAATTCATACTTCTTGGACAATCCACAACATTAAATTCATACTAAAATGGATTAAAACCACTATGCAGATAAATTAACGCCAAATAATAACAGTCAAAAAGGATATTTTAAATCGCCAGATTGTTTACTCAAAGAAATCCGTAAACTCAACTGAATTCTTGGTTCACGTTATAAACTAAAACCCACAAAGCTGAATCTAACGGAAAAAATAATATATTGTCAGGATCCTACTCAGAAATACACGCAAACAAGAAAGACCATGGCTAACAACAACACACACACACACACAAAAGTCGAAAATAAAACAAGCAAAAATCCCAGTATGAAGTTAATACAAACCAATAAGTCCCAACAGCATTCACATTTCCATCATGCAGAAAAAATGACAAAAAATGGCAGTAAAAAATAGGGAAAAGATATACCATCAGAGTGAAAATTTAGAATCGATAAAACATTAATTTTTGTTCTTACTCACACAGAAACAAAACAATTTAGGCTCTTACCCTGTTCTGATCGATAACGTCAACAATGACGACAAGCTTTCCATAGTCCTTGCCGTAGTTGACGAGGGCCACCCTTCCGATCTCAACGTACCTCTTGAACGGCTATAAATAAAAGGGATTACAAAAGTAGAGATCAAAATCCAGAAATTTTGAAACTTAGAAGGGTAGTAATGAAACAAGAGAAGACCATTTTCAGGTAGCTCACCATATTTGGAGAGAGGGTGTGTGCTACTGAGCCGTCCGAGAAGAGGCTGGACGAATGAGTTTGAGCGAGGGAACAATAAAACGATGTGTAGGGGTTAGAAGCAAAGCTAGGGTTTTTTATGGACCCAAATGGAGTTGGGCGTGCAAACCTGTTATGGTGGATTGGCGGCCCTTGCTCCTTGGGCTTGTGTGTTGGGCCATTTCACATGTCAATCTTATTGGTAGATGTGTGGAAAATAAGGGATAAAATGGCATAGTATGACTACTTTAGTTTTTTATTTATTTTTTAGCAAGTCATATTATTTCTTTATATTTTTGTATCTTTATTTTATTTTTTACACACTTGTTTACTTTAATATAATATGTAGTATTTAAAACGACGACATGGTCCATGCTGTTAACCTCGACGGCATCTCCAACTCCGCCACCTACGCCTGCCGCTTCATCGAAACCACCTGCGTCATTCAGGAGCGCAGCCTCGGCAGCCCCGTCTTCCCCAAAGCCATCGGCGAACTCCACGGCCATTTCATCATGCTCGTGTTTTCTTCTTCTAAATGCGTGGCCTCCTCTGCCTCGTCGACTTCTCCCATGGCACCAGCGTTGCCAATGCCGGCCTTGTCTTCTTCAACTGCAAAATCATCATCAGACGTTAGCTGAAGTACAACCAGTCGAATCTTCTCGATTCGCTCCACGACCGGGGGTATAATAGTCCAAATTTGCCTCTCGGTCGAATATCTATCTCTTTTCATGGTATAAAAAAGTAAGACCATGTGAAAAGAACCTAATTGTACCTTATTTTTATGCAATTTATGGCTTTAAATTCACAAGTCAAGTTGTTGCTTTGAAGGCTTTAAGTAGTTGTTTTCTAGTAGGTTTCATAAGCTACTGAAATTATAGTGGTTGATATTTTGTTGGCAAATGAGACAATTATCTTTCACATAGTTTTATAAATATGGTTTTTATTTTCATAAATAGTGTGATGTTAGTTTTTTTGTAATATATTTTTAACTATTGGGTAGTTATGTAAATTCACCACTGACCAAAATAAAATAAAACGAAAAAGAAAAAAATTAACTTTTCAAAAAAGTAATCTTTATCTATATCTATATAATGGATCAATTTATTTTACTATATTTGTCACAAAATTTTCCGCCTAAATATTTTGGGCAATTTTGGCAATTACTATTAGGCATTAATTCATTAAATAAAACTAAAATTGATTAGTTCATTAAGAAATATGAGAAGATTTAAACAGATTATTGATTGAATTAAAATTTGATCTCAAAGGTCCGTGAAGATCTTTATTAATTTTTTTAATAACATACCCAAAGATATAAATGTTTTAGTACAAGTTTTGTTTGTCATGGTTNAAGAGAGTTTGAAAATGGAATTAATATAAAATTTAGTTATATATTTATATATATTACCATCATTGACATAGTTTTGGACATGAAAAAGAATTTGTTAATATTTCGCATATAATTAGTTATTTATTTGCAAACTTTATTTATTAGCAAACTTCACATATTTATTAGCAAACATTTTAATAGCTATGGATATAACTTTGGTCAGTTATCGAGCAAAATGTAAAATATGAAGTGCTAAAAATGCTATAAGATTAATATAATTGATAATTATATAAGTACATGCAGGTAATTTTTAAACAATCATTATACTCTAAATATTACACTTTTATAATATTGTATAAACTAATAACTAATAAAATTCATAACTACATCAATAAAAATGAAAATATTTAAATAAATATTATATTATTACAGACTTGATATGTTGTGTCGAATATAATTGACATATTGTCTTAAATATTTGATAATAAAATCTTTTCTATACTATGTCCGTGCATCGCACGGGTTGCCACACTAATAGAGTACAACGAATGTTCCAACTTTTAAAAGATCCTCAAAATAAATTTTATCTCTTTTCATTACTCTCTTCCTTCTTTCTATCTTCTCATTTCCATGTTTTTCTCTCTTCTTCTTCTTCAAACATGAATGTCTAAAGAAAAAACCAAACAAAAAAAATTAAAAAATAAAAACAAAAAGATTAATTAAATTGGTTATATGCATACATAACAATTAAAATAACAAAAAAATAATACAAAGATTTGTTATTGTAACTTACAGAATTAATAATATATATTACGAAAACAACAAACAAAGATTTGTTATTGTAACTTACAGAATTAATAATATATACTATGAAAACAACAAACAAGATACGTAACAATAAAACAACAACATGACATCTTTCAAACAACATAAAAACAACTATCTATAAACAATAAAATATCCACCGTTAGCACTTGCTGCTCTATTACCTGAAAGCATTTTTGCTATGGAGCCATCGGATGACTCGAATTATGGAGCCATCCACACTTATTCATAAATAGAGTATTGACATGTGTCCTACAATAATTACAATTTAGACAGGTGTCAATACATTAAGTGGTGGATGGTTCTGTAAGAAAACCATCCGATGACTCCATAGAATTTTTGGACCTAAAAGATACACAACTGTATTAAAAAATGAAAAAGCAAAAATACCGATTCATCATTACATCGCTTGCATATCTCTTAAACTTTTGAATTCTCCATGGTTGATATCCCAAAGAAGGCTAATCGACATGAAATGGTAGCTGAGGATGATATCGTCCTTCTTCTCAGTTTCTCCTCCACTCGGACCAGTACTCCTCCTACCAACAATGGCGTCCACACCAAACCCACAACACGAGCCCTCCTTCTCTCATCCCTACTACCTCAATCTCATCCTATCTCTCTCCAGCCTTCTCCCCTCCCACCTCCTCCTCTCGCCCAAACAGATCGCGAATCCGCCAATGAAGGTCAAAGTCCACAAAACACTGATGCGAAAAATATATGAATTGGAATAAAAACTAATTCGATCTCATAGAGGTCCAGGATTTTGATCGTCTTTAACTAAGACAAAGATAAATTAGCCGCGAAGGGCTATCATAATCCAAAAGAAAAATAAAAAGAAAAGATGAAGAAAAAAATAAAAGAGAGAAGAAGAGAGCCGCTGCTCTTCTGCTGCGTTATTGCGTGAATGCTGCCCCCAGCCGATCCATTTTTTTTTTTTTTCGCTAAACATATTTATACTGCTCATGGGCCTTAATTAATAGGCCCAAGGGTCCAAAATCAACCAACATGGCCATGTTGCATTTGAACTATAATACCGACACTGCTATGCTAGGTATAACTGTTTTCTCTTCCAGGCACAACGAACTCTCAATTGCTCCAAAGTGGAATCTTCCATTTGACATGCTAAAGAGCCTAAAATCTGCACAGAAATTCAAAAGCTGGTAGTTTCCACTTGAAAATACAAGATAATGTCAAACATATGTCAATTGAACTCAAATAGTTAATATAAATTCTAAATTAATCCACTAAATCGACACATATTTTTGACTTGTCAATAGGATAAGGCTACAGATAGGGGAACAACTTTGGATTAAGGCGTGTGGCAGAAAAGGCGAGAGTCCTTTATATCTATGAAGTCTATACCATCTGGGTCCAGGATACGAGGAATCTAGTTGATGCCTGGTGGAGAGTTTGGATAGTCAAAAACCCCTTATGGCCTAGGATTTTGAATTTTCATCCACAACCCTTAGTATAAAAGAGTGTCTAGGTTTTTTT